ACTACACAAAACTCTACTTTTCAGTTTCCTACAGTTGGTAATAACAATATGGTAGATTCATAAACTTGTGAAGGAGGAGCTTTCACTTCAAAAAGAGTATCCATGATAATAAAAGTTATTCTTTAAATTGTTACATTCCATTCCTTTTGAAGCTTGACCTTCGCAGAGAAACACAAGAGCCAATCACAATAAGGGGTTGAATACAGCCCTCAGCCAAGGCTCTCAGTTGCTGCCTGGCAGATGAAATTGTCCTGAGCAGTTCAGTTTAGTTTGGTTCAGTGGATTGTAGTGTAGTGCAATGTTGTCGCATTTTATCTTTTACTCACAGAATATGAGTGGTCTAAAAAACAGGCCTGTGGCATCACTGTCCTACCTAGGCCAAAGGAAGCTCAGGGGAAGAAGAAATTGTGATAAGGAGAAGATACTTCATGCTGAAGTGGATATCACATGAGGTATATTCTTCAATGGTTAAAACCTGGAGGGGGTAAGCTGCTCATAGATTCCAGGATGCAAACTTTCTCCTAGAGAAAGGAAGAACAGACAGGATAGGTTACTGGGACTTTTACAGGCTGCTTGCCATAAATAACTTTGTAAACAAAACTGCAACTAAAGTTGGTGCAAGAAATTATGAGAAAACAATGACAGTCTGAAATCACTCATTATAACAAATGTGTCAGAAAAAATTCCTCATTTTATGCATCATTTTGCATGGGTACGATGTTCAGATATTGGAAATTCCAATGGTTTCTGCTGTTATGATGAAGTCCTCAATATAAGCCATATTTGTTGTACTGCTGTTTCATTGTTTTGAAAATGAAACAGTAAGAACTGTACTGAACTACAGTAACATAATTCATGTTGATATCACTGCCACACTGCTGTTTCATTGTTTTGAAAATGAATCAGTAAGAACTGTACTGAACTACAGTAACATAATTCATGTTGATATCACTGCCACACTGCTGTTTCATTGTTTTGAAAATGAATCAGTAAGAACTGTACTGAACTACAGTAACATAATTCATGTTGATATCACTGCCACACTATCTGCATGTTCTTTGTACATAGTGCATTACTGGGAACATTACACTGGTCATGTCTGTCCAAGTTAGCACTAGCTAATTCAGTCTGATAAGCTCTGGTACTGGTACCAGATTACAAACTGTTTTATGAATTTCACTTTAGCCTCTATCGGTCAAATTTAGAACACATTTTACATGAAGCTGAAATTTGAACTTTACTAACCTTCCCAGCAATTATCCATAATCCGATACAATGAGAGCCAAAATATCTCATTCAAACAGTTTCTATTTCAAAATTTTTCAATGTAATGCACATTCTACAAAATGCAAGGTAAAATTAATTACCGTATTTACGCATGTATAGGCCACAGCACAATTTTCAGACAGAAATTATAGAAAAAATAATTTTCTTGGAATATTATTTCAGGAGTATTACACCCTGTATTACTAATTATGAATATAATTTTTTTTAAATGAAGTGTGATTTCGAATATATGCCGCACCCGTTTTCCTCTTGAATTTTTGGCAAAAAATGTGCGGCCTATACATGCGTAAATACGGTACATCTCTATGCAATGTCCTACCTGACTGTACATTAGTTCTGTTGGTACAGAATAGTTATGCCAAGCAATGTGACCTATACTGTTTAATACTACACCAAACACATTTCTTCCTTCAAGAAATGGACACTAAGGCCACTGAACTATATAAAATTAAAAAGAATCATCTGGAAATATGGTTACTCCAAACAGAAGCATTCATTCCCACATATGTTGTGGTTACTGCTATAATGATGCATCTCAGGTTCTGTGGATATTTCATGGCCTGTGGCTAAACATATGCTACAAAATTTCTATGCTTGAAAAGAGAAATACAAAAATTATTGATGACAATAATTCAAGTATTATAAATAGTTCACAAAATTATTAATACTAACTCAGGACCTTGTAAACGAAGATATAAGAAAATATCATATTTCAAACTGTTTCAGCAAAAGTTTGAGAGAAACCATTCATCAGAAAGATGTTACATTTTGTCTTAATGCTTATGATTCCATATGCTACCTTGAATGACCACTTAACTATAGAAAGAAAGAATCAACGTACAGCCACGATTATCCAGTGATCCACGACCCCGCATACGGGGAGGGCCTCCACCTCTGCCTCGTGTGCGCTCTCTCTCCACATTTGATTCTCTCTCCTGGCCCCAGTCTTCCTGTTCAACATCCCGGTTGTTTACAGCCGACTCTGGTTTCGTGCTAGGTTGTCGATTTTTCTTTTTCTTTACTGACGTTTCCCATTCACCCTAAGCAGAAAAAGGGCATACAAATGTCTTCACTAATATTTCTATATCAAGTGTTCCTTCAAGTCATAGAACCATAATTTGAGGTTTAAGATTCCCATAGCAGTGAATATAAAGACTACCATCTTCCAGGGTGTGACTGTATGCAGTCTGGTAGACAGGCACCAAAGTTTCAGATCACTGCTGCGGTCTGGGCTACTGGCAGCATCATAAAATGTTCCACACACAAAACAGAACATTCCAGAAAAACCTGCTACTCCATCTTATGGGCAGAAGAGTAGGATAAGCAAAAATATAAAGGCACAGATGTAAGGAAAAGGGAAACAGTAAACAAGCAGGCCAATGAGAGACAGAGCCCTGAAAGCATGCAGTTAAACATCTAAGAAGAGGAGAGAAAAAAACTGATGAAAAGATAGAAGTAAAAGGTATTCATGATGAAAGTTCAAGGAGGAAGATATGATGGCACATGGTTTTGGGAGACACCGCATGGAGTTCTCACTAGGTCAGTCCCGACACCAGTGAAAAGAAAAATATGCCTAACACAGGTATATCTGTGCACACCAGCCAGGAAACATTAAGAAAAAGGAGAACAGAAAGAAGGAAAATTAATCCACAAGGCCCTGTGCAGACCTGCATTAGGTAAATTCACACAGGCCTCCAAGAAGGGACAATTGAATGGTCCAGTGCAGTGACTCCAGCTCTGACCAAAACTTAGTTTTACACTGTTCTCTCCCCCCCCCCCTCTCTCTCACACACATATTTGCCCACTGTATTAGTGGAAGGACAGTGCGGCTCAAGAGATAACACACCCCGTAACTGTGAAAACAGAGCCACAGAGTAGCATGGCTCTAAATGAGATTTTACACATACTTTTATTGTTTTTCAATAGGTTGTTAAAGTGGAATCATATCCTTTTTGCACTGCACCCTTCAATTATGCTGAACACAGGAGCACCTACACATCCCAAGCTGAAAGAGGGATAAGAAAAAGGAGATGGTAAGACAATCCACAGAAGTCTGTGAATGGGAAATTATGTCAAATACAGGGGGACTATGAGCACTAATAGCTGAAATTGAAATTAAACAAAAAATGAACCCTTGGAGACTAGTAAAAGGGCAAGAGCGCTTATTGTAGACACACCTGTTCAGAAGAAAACTTTGGGTAACAAAAGCAGGAAGGAAAGATACATGGAAAATTAGTATTAAAAAAAGATATTATCAAGGGACCCTAGGAAGTGCCACTCTGAAGAATCCTACTACATGGCATAACCACTAAGGGAGGTTTTCTATGTTCCTTCTAACGAAAAGATATCCATAGTATAGTCACATGAACCTAGACTATGAACTTTATACCCTGTAATATTCTGTACAACCTAAAGATCACAATCAACTGCAGCAGGAACATTCACACAGAAATAAACTGTCAATATTCTTTCCATGTGACCTTGTCTCCAACAAACATGAACTCTGAATCCAAATTTCAAAGTTTATCCTGTTCATTATTGGTTTACTGGCTATATGCAATTAGAGAAAAATGAGGAATAAATATTTTACAACAATTCTGTTGCCACAAATACTACAGAGGAATTTTATTGTACACCTATTACAGACACTTTTAATGTGCTATTCAATGCAGAAATTATGAAAATGAAGTTCAGTCCAGTAAGCAAACAGAAGGCACCATAAATGCTACTAGAAGAACCTGTGCATTGGTCTTGGAAAGTAACATACAGTGAACTTATTTTGAGGCTGAGCCAAGACAAGGCAGGGCATTTCCATTACATGACATCACTGCACTAGTTGCTGCCTTTCTTATTAGGCCAGACGCTGTGGTAACAGGAAGTGGTACTATACTCTTGCAATATTCACTCCTGACTCAATGCTGTACTTGGATATGTGTACACTACAGCACTGGATGTTTCAAAAAAGATCTTATGTAAAGTGTAACTCTGTAAGGCAGAGTCAGAGGAAATTCAGAAGAAAGTTTCCCAGACAAGTTTCAGAATTAACACAAGTCAGCCAAAATCAAAGCTTGGTTTATACATTTACCTTGCAAGCTACTTAAATGCCTTGCACAAGAAAAAGAGATGATAACACCTGATACACACTTGTGAAACTACAGCCTTACAAAACAACATTTGTAAACCCTTTGCAGCCATGACCCTGTAATTTTTGTAACTGATATTCAGTCAGTTCATGACAAAAAACTTGCCTTTGTTCACATTATTTAAGATGAAACTTAGTTTTACATGGACATACCAACACACATAACAGATAATCAAGTACAAGAAGTCCACATCTTATAGATGAAGTTACTCTCCATGACAAAAATTTGGATTTGGTGCATCTAGAATGCAACGACTATTGGTCCCGAGTTTTATACAGACACATTCTGAGATAAGTAAGGCAAATACAGCATCTGGATGAATATCTTCTCTACAATGTTAACACAGACTTACACCACTGCAGCTGACCAAGTAGGATATCCCATGCTGTAAGCACACAGAGGGAAGTCTGTACCCTGGCACATTCACCAAATATCACTGTGCTACACCCAGTCATAAAAGACATGAGAGTTACAAGCAACTATTACTGATGGATTTAGTTTCCAGGATAGTGTATAGTGTACAGCTCATTTTATAGCTGCTGAGATGTATCCGAGTGTGATGGATGATTCACATAACAAATTGTGAGATCATGCAAGCAGTGAACAAGTTTATAACTACGACTACAAGCGACCACTTTCTAACACTGCCTTGTAGGTAATTAATATACAGAATATTTTTTGACTGGAATTTTCTTTTCTCTGTGCTCTATTTCTGTATGCTGCCAGTATCTAGACTATACAGCATCGAATGTTAAGGATCTGAGGAAGCAGTCATGGCCCAACTGAGGCACAATCCTGCCATTTGCATGAAAACACTGAGGAAAACCACAAAACATCTAAATCAGCCAATATTCACATGGAGCCCTTCCTGAACACAAGCCTAGCGTGTCACTGCTACATAAACCCGCTCGCTGAAATCTACCTTGAACCAAGTAAGAAGAGTCTGTGTATATACCTGGCCCATTCCTTCAAGAAGCATATTCACTGCCCTGTCAAGATCATTATCACAGTCATGTAGAGCAGTGCATACTTCATCCTCTGTTTTACGAGTTGCATCCATAACTTGTTTGATCTTGTCCTTCAGGTCCGGGTCTTCTGTCCTAGTATCGATAATCTGTGCAATTCGCATCTGTTCCGCTGTAGGCTAAGAAAGAGGAATTAATTTTTGTTACAAATGGATAACATAGAGCTAAGTGCTTGCCTTCTTTCCATGAATGTCGCAAAATGCCACCTCTCTCTGAAGAAATGATGATGGGCATCATCGCCATAATCACTTCTAAGACAACAATCAGTAATGACAACATACATCTGATTCTTGGTTTATTCTATAATGCTACACCAGATGGTTATGTAATATAGTGACAAATGACAGTTAAGTTTATGAATACTAATTAAAAAATGAAGGAATCATGAAATATTTGTAACACTGCTCATTCCACTTAAAACTCTATGCTTAGTGCTTTTAAGTCTGGTATGCTTCCTGGGTATTTAAACTTTAAACAAAATTTCGCTACAGTTTACCACATTACAAGGGGTACGTCTCTTTCAATTTGTGCCACTTTTACTAAGCTCATAACAGCAAGGGGTCAATGTATAATCCTGGCATTTTCCTGGAAAGCTTGAGATAATTATGGAAAACTTAAATTAGAATAACCAAAGTTAACAGTGCGCGAGGGCAGTACTGTAAGCATTCACCAAGTGCTCTCCAACAGGAACTTCAACATAACATGAGGTTCAGTTCTGTTACTTTCACTTTTCACACCTGGTAGTTATATTTACCCACTGCCCACATTTGCTACAATGTTTGACATACACTGAACTGTCTAGACAGGGCAGTTATGAGATGAACTTACACACTATGAGTCAATCCACCTTAACAGAAGCATCCTACTCTTCCACGTTCATCAGGAATTACAAGAAAATTCCCTGATGTTTGAGTAGTGGTATAAAAATATGTTTACAATCCATAAAGCTGTAGCTACAGTTTCTCTCCAAAGCACAATATTTCACAACTTTCCGCAGATTTATAAACAATGGATTTTCAGTTACTGTTAAGCAAGTATAGGATTAAAATTCTGAGCATCCAACCACCCACCCTTTAAATTATATGACTGTTACAAAATTAATTCAATACAACATCCACAACAACTTCAGCATATTGTGGTCATCAAGAGCAGAAGCTGAAGTGTGTGTGTGTAGGGTTTTGGCTATAACCAGCAGCTCCACATTTTCAAATGAATCTACAATTCCACCTTACATTAACACTGTAAAACATGTACTCACTTGTATACTCAATTAGTACATTAATCTTATTCAGCTGTATATGAAATTTGTCACAGAAATGAATATGTGGAGTGCTGAATGGGAGGAACATCATGCAAGGAGCAAGCAATTATGTGAATCAGTATTTAACCTGACAATTAAACCACATCTTGGCATACCTAATTTCCAAATGCAAGTAACCTTCTGCATACCAAAGTCTTAAATATAACTTAAAGGCATTTCTAGTTTATGCATAATACACTACACAGAGTCAAACACAGTACAAAGAAAAAATAAACTCACCTGTGTTTTAGGATTATGGTCAAGTGCTTTCGGTGATTCTGTTTTAATATCTGTTTTCTGTGGTTTACTTGTTGAAGATGCTTCTGATTTAATTCCTTTTCCACCTCGGGAGGTGGATCGGCTTCCAGAGCTCATCTTTACAAACACTATGTACACTTACTATTTACAATGTGTTCTGCTACTGAAACACACGAAAATGTCTCAAGTCACTCTTTGTTTTGGGGTCAGAACACAACTAGTAACAAATGGAACTGAACTCAGCTACACGTTTCAGAGATTCAGTAGTTGCAATAGCATGTTATGTCTGGTTAATGCAATTCAAAGGCAGCTGTACAAGATCACAATATTATAATCACAACAACATGGTTATTCTTTTCTAAATAAAATAATCAATTACTCATGCACTGCCAAATGACGTGCAGTTAGAAACAGGCTACATTATTTAGAAGCACCTCAAACATGACTCTTCTATAATGTACATGTATATACTGTTAATCAAACAATTACCTTTCTCATCTAGCATTCATTTGTAACTCATTTAAGAGCCAAAATATTTTTAATGTAATAATTTAGAATATAACAGAATACAATTCCACAGAAATTATAAGAAAAATAAGGAAAAAATTGTAATAATAAAATATTAATACAAACACATAGTAGATTGTATTGTAAATAAAAATTAACTACTGATATATTTCTAAAATATATTGATCAACTGTGTTTGATTAATCTGTCAGAACTAGTGATCAAAACAGCTGACTTCAATTACATGTAGAAGAGATCGCTAAAAAAATTACAGTGAATACTAAAAATACAAATCTGATACCACATTGCAGTTTCTGGCTGATACATTACACCATCACGCAGAAAACTAATGTTTACCATCCCTTGGGTATATAACACTCTCTTTTAAAACATATTCTTCGTTACCTTATCTAGCTAATTAAAAGTCAAATGTATTTAAAAAGAACTATGCTGCAATCAAACTAGACTCAGCAACTAGGTTAGGTTTATGGTCCATAAACAATAAAACCTTACACATGCACTAAATCTGAGTGCCCAATATTTCATGATTCACATTTAATACACATAAGCAAATAATAACACCAATGGAGTTAAGCGTAATAAAAATACCAATAACTTCTTTCAAGGAAAATGCGAAAAAATTCTAAAACAAGAGAACTTCCTTTCCATCAGATGAAAAACCTTCGAAACACTACGAGAACCAAAGGCAGTACTCTTTACACTGTCATACAGTCCACAATAACAGTATTCAGGGTCTCGAAAACAAAAGAATTATCTTCCCATAATGAAACAACAAACCGAAATTTACAATCACAAAGCCGGGGTCTGAACAGCCATGTGGGCCGACGCCATTTCAAAGCCTTGTTAGACTTACTATTGACAACCATCAAAATTCTAAGTCGAATTTTATATTTACTTTATACGTTCAGAAAATAGGTTCGCTTCTTTTAGGGAAACTTGGTTGCTCATAACTTATACAATATCGACATATAATAGCTGAATACATAAAGAAACACCATAAACTTATAAAATAGTTATACCTGCAAAATGCGCCCAAAACGCAATGAAGTCACGTGACACATAGCCCATTGTAGAAGTACAACAGAATTCCGCACGCCACTTGGAGCGCTAAGAATCATAGCGTCTTGCGGGTCTTGTGCACATTATCGTTCCATTATATTTTCTACGTATTGTTCGGAGTAAGAAATTTCTTAGCGGCATTACTTATCTTGGATGGAAGAAAAACAGAAGAGGAACATCTTGCTCTGCATGAATGTAATGCAACGAATTGCAGTTCTCTTAATACATTAAATGCAACTCACGAACAGCCTACAACTAAGGCTCTCCCGGTTGGAATGTGGTACTTTGAAATTGATCCTGAGAAGGGATGTGAGTGTAACTAAATTGTCTCGGAGAGGATTTGTGACGCCGGTGATATACCAGCGAATCTCAGAACAACAAAGAAAATTCTGAACAGCCAGAATTTTCGACTGCCCAGGAAAAAGCCACAGTGAAATAGGTATTTGGGCACTAGTGTACAGTATCAAAATGACCTCACTCGTATTAAGCAAAAATGAAATCCAGGTACGATATTTGGGGTTCGTAACAATGACTACTGTTGCTCAGCAAAAATGAATTTATCGATATCTGCATACACTATTTTTATTCCTTGCAGTATGATCTCAAACAATAATGATTTCTGTTTTCACTGACAGGTGTCTACAGTTTGGTTCAAATTATTGAATAATTTTGTGGACCCTATGTCAAAGTCGTTTTTCTATAAGCTGCTAAAAAGCCAGATTTTAGTTTTATACTGGTAGCAGAGTATGTTTGATCTACATATTTGTCGTTTCTTCATTTACTGTTATGTTCGGTAAATAATAGTACTCATAACCAGAAGTGCCGCCAGAATTCTGTATAAAGTGAAACAATCAACTGCTCATGGGGGGAGGAAAAAATTTGCTTGTAAACTTACGTTTTAAGAGCATTACGAGAATTTTTGCTCTCCCCCTCGAATATCCTGCACATAAGGATATTTTTTATATTTTCAATCATTTGTAATAATATTTGATACGTTTTCTTCTATCCTTAAATTTTTATTGTTTTAATTCTCCTACCAGCGCCCACTTTCATAAACTCACTAACGATCCTAGGCAGACTGAAATATACGTGCAACTGGACTGTTAGTACAATGGTACTATGTAGCCCGCCTTGCTTTTTCTTAGCAAATTTTCTCTCCGAATACCCATGTTTACTGTAGGTAGGTTTGAAATACTGATAGGTAAAAATTCTGCTCAGCACAATACGTGTTTATTGCAAAAGGTAAATTTTTTCTTGTACTTAATTAAATAAACACCACGCCATGAAGACGTGTGAGAGAATGGAGGTACAGCTCCGCCATTTTTGGCCTTGGTCCTAGACGAAGGTGAGTGGTCAGTTTCACACCCCTACACCCTTGTCGTTTTACTCTCGCAGAAACATCATCCGTGCCACTTGTATAAGAAAAGGGTGAGCTCCAGAGCCGGTCTGGACACAATTGAGTAGAGAAAAATCTTTTGCAATTTCCGAAACTCTTACCTACATTTCTCTGTCGTCCAGCCCGCAGCCTAGTCAATATACTGACTGAGCTACTGGACGTAAAATACAGAATACTTTGTGGGAGCTCTGATGATAGAACATAGGATTTAATAGGCCTACTGCTACAGGAGGTTCTTAACCATCAGACAAATCACGACGGAGTACCTCCTGGGTGAGTTCTTGCACGTGGTCAAATACAAATTCCTTCATCGGTGCTCAGAGAACGGGCTTAATTAATGCGTTGCATGATCTAAAAATAAGGTAATTAACCTTCGATTTTCATAAAACTCAGAGAATATCTGACGGACTATTATCTTCTCAAGAACTCAGCACTATGGAACTGGTTAACTTCGCGACCGATCACAATTTCGGTGACACTAGTCCCGTTATCCTGGGTCGGTAATATCTTTGAGAGAACGTTACCGGTGAATAGTGATGTAGATAAGAGTAGGTTTCCACGCCTGTATCATTCATGGAACATGAATACTGTCACTTGTGGGGTGGTACGCCTGACAAAAATGACGGGTTCTTCTTTGGATGATTGGATTTATTAGCACCTTGATTACAAGTTCTCTTAGCCACATTTAAATAGTACAGCGCTTTCGTTGATTTAGACACACACTGATCCTCTCCTGGTAACGCAATTAAACCACAGGAACTTTAACAGTCTCACTGAATCACACACTCGAAATATTACACATGAATGAAGTCTTCTTATCACACACCAACTCTTCACAGACCGTTTTCTCATTCTTCTTATACGGCGAACTTTCCGTGGCTATCTCCTACCGAGAACTCAGAACTGACTCGTAGCGCCATTCGTCTTTAAGATAACTGCGTTGCAAGGATCCCACGGAAAACACCGCCTCCCATTGTTGTGGATGCATGTTTATAGTTTCATTGCCCGGCGATAGACTTCCTACAGCTCCCTGCGCCCGACTGGCGCGGATCACATAGAAAGCACAGTTTCCTTTCTATTTTATCTCTATTCGTGTTTACAGAGCTGTTGCCTGGCAACGCATTTGTCAAATCCTTTACAATATTATCTTAGGGTTCCGTTATGTCAAAGTAAAAATCTGTTACTCCAGAATACGTAATATAAAGTATAATATTTGTAGGTTGAGTGCATGGAACTTGATGGTTTTTAGAAACGACTACAGGTTTGGAAAAGGTATGCTACGCTGATAACTATTCCAACTTCATACTGGGCACACAAATTCCGTTCACGTAGGCTGATATGCTACACTGTGATCATACATCTTAACAGTAACTTAATTAAATTGCGACTACGTGTCAATCACCGCGAAGGTAACACTGAAGCAAATGTATTGTCCTAGGAAGTGCCGTATCCCGCAGATAAACACGCTTGTAAGAGAAAAATGCATGCCGAAGAAAATAAGCCACACAGAAGTCCTACGCAAGTAGATAGGAGGATAATATTGAACTTGAACTTTATATAAGCAGCCATCAACTTCTCAAGGAAAACGTTGACCAATGGAATTTAAGAAGTGCCTATCCTAAAATGCAGTTATAATTATATCTTTTTTTATATACATATTCCTGTGGTCAAGTTGTTCCTGCCTTGGGCTTAGCAACTATCCCGTAATTATATTTCAGCATCCTGTTGCATTGAAGTATCGCTCGCATTTCTCTTTCGTCTATAATGCAACACACTCTTTATTTCTAGATGACACTAAACTTACATTCAGCTCACTAATATGCCACTTAAACTATTCCTAAAATGTCATTAAAATACAGTATATTCTATTTCTGGCTACATATTTCGGCCCCACAGGGCCATCTTCAGGCAGTATATTTTGATGGAACCTACTGCACTATACTTTCTTTTATCAGTAGTACTCTTTGATGTACTTCGTCATTATTGTCAGTTTTGGTATTTTGAGAATGTCTGTTCTTTTCCTATCTTCGTATTGCGGCTTTTACAAAGAACACCGAATCAGTACAAGGCACACAGGACCAAGGGAGCGGCACACAGAAGCTGCAGAAATAACAGGTAAAGGTAAAGCTGTCCCTGAAACAGGCAGTGGAGGTCCATAGGGTTGTCAGACGTCGGGGCTCCTACATTTTCTAGAAAATCGGCTCACAGATGGCGGTGAGGTTGTCAGCCTTATGAGCCGGCTGCCCTTTACCCCCAGGAAGATTTCTGGTGCACATTTCTGTTAGAGGCTGAGCCGACCCCAGGGCCATATTGTTGCTGGAAGAATTAGGTCAGGTGAAAAATCGAATGACCTCATCGGGAATAGAACCCACGACCTTTCGCCTTGTTGCATAGAGCCTCAAGCAACTACGCTACATTCTCAAAATACCGAAATTGAGAATAATGACGACGTACATCGAACAGTACTATTGACATAAGCGAGCACAATGCAATGGGTTCCATCAAAATGTGCTTCCTGAAGATGGCCCTGTGAGGCCGAAACGTGTAGCCAAACGTGGAATGTACTTGAGTGACATTTTAAGAACACTTTAACTGACATTTTAGTGAGTTCAATGTAAGTTTAGAGTAATCTAAAATGAAGTGTGTTTTGCATTACAGACGGAAGAGAAACACGAGAGAAACTGACCCGTGCTCTCTGTACTTCTTGTCCCGGATGCCTAACCTTTAGGATCCACTCTTTTTAGCGATAATGAATCTCAAAGCTGGCTTCTGACTCGGTAACCAGAATTGATAATTTTTCACCATTTGGAAAACATGCAAATGTAACAGCCAAGCCACAGGCTCGTCATGCCACGCGACGGCGCCCTAACGAAGTACGAGTACAGCCTCCTGGGTATTTACACAAAGCGCAATTCGCCAGTAACACTTACCCTGACAGATATTAATCTTCCAGCACCAAGAGGCAACTCCTCTTAACTCTGGAAGTACTGACCTGTCAGCAGTCGATAAGCCTGCCCCAAACAATACATAACTCCGTGAAGCGCAGTCCTTCCTGAGAAGCTCAACTAATCAAATAATTCAGCTTCTTTTATGGAATATGGATCCGTCACTGGTTCCTGTTCAGTGCAAGACGAATCCTGTCCACACCCTCACACGTTTCTGTATGCATCTTAATATCATCCTCCCGCCTATGCACAGGTCTCCCAAGTTATTTTATCTCTTCCCTTCAGTATGTAAGAGCTGAGATTCACCCCGTCAGTAAGTATCAAAATTCCGGTCTTCT